AATAAATTCAGGGGGTAATAGAACCTTAGCATAGTATAAGTATGTCTCTGATATTTCGGGCGTAGATTGAGGGGTACTTCTGCATTATCTTTTTTTTTTTTGTACATATAATATTTACGTTAAAAGTCTAACTAATTTAGATTTATATACATAGTGTAACACGCGTCATGGGGAGGGGGATGTTCTCTAGCGAAAAAAGTTTAAAATTCGAGACGTTTAATTTAGAACTAAAATATGAATAGTAGGTTCACAGCGGTGATTTTGGAAATCAGTCAACTGATTTTAGCATGTTCTAAAAGTTACAATGATAATCTTTGGTTATCATGATTTGGAAACATCTTTACAATTGATAGATGACTAAATAACAGTAGCTCGTGGCTCATGCCATAATTTTCCATTTTTTATGTGACCCATAATGACCACCAAAATGAACCAAGTATTCATGAAGGGGATACAAAACATACGAATAAAAAGAAACTTAACTTTAATTTTTTTTAATAATCTAGTATCTTAAATTCATTTATTTAATTAATTTAAATTTGTTTCACGTAATACCGCCTTTCACATTAAATGGTATGATTATATATGTGTGCGTATGAATATTACATCAAATTAATTTTACACGACTCATGTTTTCCTTTTGTCTTTTAGTATTTAAGATGGTCTATAAAACGTGATTGAATTTGTGAATGTTTATTTAGATAAACTTGTTCTTTATCAATATTTGTTTGATTTAATATGTTTGAGGATTTCGAAAATCTGCATTAAGATAATTGATTATTTCATTTTTTATTCTATATTATTTTTGAAGAAAAAAATATGTTGAAAGTATACATAAATTTATAAACACAAAAATCTCCACCAATTTTACTTGTGATCAAATTACACGAAATCTATTAATAACAGTCATTTTTACTTATTATAGCTATTAGAACATTCATACTAAAACATACATAAAACTCAAAGCTCATTTCCTAATTAGTAAATTTTCTACTTGAATACAATTAATTCACCCAAAAAAATCCCAAGTGCCTCGAGATATGTTTAGTCTGATTAAATTAATATTTGATAGATTGATAATCTTTTTAAAATAATATATTTTTAAAAAAATCCTATATAAATATATGGTTCAATTATTATTATAAATTAATAACTTCAAAAATATAATTATATCTAAGTCAATTTAGTAGCATATGATTTTATAGTGTTCTAACTTTTGTTAAAATTCAAATTTAGTTGAAAGTTCATTTTTAACTTTTTTTAGTGCATTGAAAAATTCTAGAGTTTTTTCTTTTCGAACTTTATTATAAAATTTTGAAGAGTTTTAAATGTGATAATTGCTTACTTATGTGTAACTGGTTTCAAAGATATTGTATCATGTTAAAAAAAATATACATTATAATGATTCATACAAATATATTGTACTTTATATATAATAAATTTCTTTTTTATGTGTTAATATAATACATAATTTAGTAAAATACGAGAATTTTAATGTTTTCACTTTTCATTGTACTATATGCATAATAAATTCAATTTTTTTTACATGTAAATGTAAATTCAATAAATATGATAAAAATTTTCACTTTTCATTGTACTATATGATATGCATAATAAATTTACTTTTTTTACATGTAAATGTAAATTCAATAAATATGATAAAATAGATTCTATAATTTCAAAACCTTCACCATCCATATATATGTGTGTATATATAAGAATCCCACTATTTCACGCCAAAACAAAGATTTCTCTTTTAGCTCTCTTCCTTTATATCTCTCTCCTTTAAAAAATCAAATCTTTGTCCTCTTTCAACGTACTGTCTTACATTAAAGAACACAACCTTTTTTTTCACCTGAACAGAACAAGCTCAAAAAAAAAATGTCTTCAGAAATCGGCGACAGACGTCCGGCGAGACTTCCGGCGCCGGTAAACGGAACAAGGCCATCGGAACCAGAGAACTTGCCGTGTCCACGTTGTGATTCTACAAACACAAAGTTTTGTTATTACAACAACTATAATCTTTCTCAGCCACGTCATTTCTGCAAGTCCTGTCGCCGGTATTGGACACGTGGCGGCACCTTACGTAACGTCCCCGTCGGCGGCGGTACACGTAAGAACTCGTCCCATAAACGCCCCCGTATCAACTCCGGTGCTGGTACCGTTCAAGAGCAAACCAACCCGATCACAATGATGGGTTCGGGTTCGGGTCATGTATCCGGGTCGGGTTCTATGTCGTTGATGGGTTGTGAAGTGAACTTGAATGAGTCAGTACATGAAGGTGGAAACGGTACGTCGTCGTTTACTTCGTTATTAACGGCTCCAGTTGGTGTAGGGGTGGGTGGGTTTGTGCCATTAGGTGGATTTGGGCTTGGGCTTGGCGGGTTTGGGCTTGGGAATCTTGATTGGCCCATGGAGCAAGTAAGCGGTGGAGGGAATGGTGGCGACGGCGGTGAAAATGACAAGTGGCAGCTGAGTGGCGGTGAGATGGAAGGCGGCGGCGGCGGTGGTGGCAGCGGCGGCGGAGGAATAGGTGGTGATGATGATTGTTTTGGGTGGCCTGATCTTGCTATTTCAGCACCAGGGACAAGTCTTAAATGAAAGTAGAAATTAATATTATATTATATACTTTTAATACTTCTCATGCAAGAAATCGAAAAAAAAAAAGGTGTTTTTTTTTTAAATGAACTTTATATTAAGTTCTGTTGTCTTTTTGCAAGTTTTTTGGGGTTGCATGGATTGGTTTGTCTGTAGGAATTTTTACTAAAAAGAACTACTATAGTAGGCAAAGCTATTTTTGCTTGGTGGGCAACTGTTTTTTTTTTTTTTTGGTTATTGTAAATGTATTTTGGGACTCTTCTTCCTTTTTCTTTTTGACAGAAATAGGTCCCAAGTTTCATGAAATGAACAATATATTTTCTTTGTTCTTGTTTTATAATACGCGATTAAATAGAACGACTTTGATCAGTAAAGATTCATATAGTCGTCGTGTTACTGTTTTGTTGTTTGTTTTGCGTTGCAAAAAGTGTAGTACTTTTGGTGATGTTTACTTTTTCTTTTTTCTTTCTTCTTCTATGGGGGGTCCTCCAGTTTATCACTAAAAAATTCCTATAAATCAAAAGTATTTTGTAGGTTTGTTAGGGAGAAAGGGGGCCTGTTAGGGTTTGTGTTATTTCAAAAAGCATTCTTTCCAGTTTTGAAGGGGGGCCTGACCTTTTCCTTCGACCCCTATCACATAATTTGTCTTAAAGTTTTAAAAAAACTCCTCATTATCTGACTATCTTTTCTACAAGTGTCTGAACAAAAAACTTTTATAATGAAATTGATTGAAAACGACGAAATTTTATATTCAAATTTTGCTAAAAGTGGTGATTTCGCTAATTTAAAATATATTTGTTAATATTAATCAGAAGTTGTTCAGATGGTAAGTATTTTTTCTCCGACTCTAATGAGTATATATAAAGTAGGAGTAATTAATGAATGGCTCCAAAATGAAGTGTCAGCGCCGAGGTTGATATGCACCACCGACCGTGGCCGATATAATGGAATTTGATTCCCAATCTCAAACGAATTTACATCCAAACTTTTCCACTAACAATTTGATTCCACTAATATATACGATATGTAATAACGTTTTATATTAATTTTTCATTGTTGTCATAAGTAATTATTACAAACTATTTTGTTATTTTATAATATTAAAATAAAATTATTTGAATACTCTATTTTACCCTTATAAATAATTCAAAAAAATCTAAATAACTTCATAAAGTTTTAAAAAAATAAGTAAATAAAACTGTCTTTTCTTATTTATGATTTTTTGAAAATCGTATAAATAAAAAAGTAAAAAATCAATATGAGATGATAGGCGTATGAGGTGGTGTTTTTAATAAATACAGTATTTTTTTAGAAAAAATCATTTTTGGCCAGAATATTTGGTTAGAATTTGATCAGAGATTTTTTTTAATGTACTTTTATTTTTTAAAAAATATTTTTACCCTTTTATCTTCAATATCTTTTATTAAAAAATGAAAAAAAAAATCGAATTATTTTAAAATAAAATAGATATGTTTTGAAATTTTCTCGCTAAATTCTGAATAAATTTTTTAGTTATTTAGCAGTTTTCTATTTTTTTTATATCTAGCTACTAGAGCTCGAATTTTAGTTAAGAATAAAGAAATTTCAATTTAAAACGACTCATGTTGGTTTGTGTGCAAGCTTCGTGTACGTTCTTTTCCAATTTACTTCTACACGGTCTTATATAAACTTATTGAGTTATATATGCATGCATGAGTTTGTCAATGTTCATACCAAAACTCTTTTGAAACTCACATCGAATAAAACCACGAAATTAATTGAGAAGAAAATTTGAAATTTTTAAGTTTATGAGTTATGATTTTAAAAAGACTTGAACAAAACCTTAATGTTAATTGAGAGAGATGGATTCAGAATTTAGAGTTCATAATTTTTGAATTTTAGAAAAAATAATTTTTTTGGGTTCTCACATGATAACAGCACATTAAAATAATTTGTAGCCGCAATTAATTGACGACAATAGTTTAATTGTCACTAAATATGTATTTTTAGCGACAACAACATTTTTTATATGTCCCTAAAGCCTTTAATAACATTCGGTAAAAATTTTCATTAGCCCTCTTTATTAATGTGTTTATTTATTACCATTAATCAAATACAAAATTTTGATTAGCACTATTGAATTATGACGAACTTGTAGCTCGAACCTAACTTCGTCCGTGCATGTTAGTGTCAGAATTCACATTTGATAGCCGGTGTAATCCTACGAATAGGATCTAAAAAGGGTGCTACATACCCTGATCACGCAGTTTGTGTAGGTAGAGAGGTTATTTCCGACAGACCATCAACTCAAGCAAAACTAATGGTATGATGAGAAACTAAAATCATCTACTCTCTACAAAAGACTGATGCCACTCAATATCCATCTTCAATAGTGCAAATATAACAATGCAAACACAACTTTTGAACATGACCTAGTGCATTAACAAGTTGAAAACTGAATCATCCTGCAAACATTCTAGTTTCTATAAAATGTGAATTTCGAACGATTTCATAAGGCATACAACACCAAATTCCAAAGGTAGAAAACAAGAACATGTTTGTACCTATGGCTTTATACATATTCCTATTCCTTCCTCCGAACCAACCAACACACACGCACGAACGCGTTGTTTCTCCACTTCACCTTTTCTCAAGCCTAGAATAGAAACACACATTACAAACTACTACTAGCAAATTCAAGTTTACATACCAAAGCGCGCTTTTTTATTCATGATCTATCTCTTAGTTGGGCTTAAAGAACCTGAGTTTAAGTCCATTAGTGACCATACTCCAAATTCCTCCGATCGAAAAGGCCAAGCTAAAAGCAACTCCTAACCATCCAAGGATCCAGTTGAAATACCAATTAAAGCTGTACTTTGTAGGCTTCTTTATGAGAACCCACATGAAGCAAGGATAAGCAAATGTTACCGGAAGTGTGAGTCCTCCTAACAATCCAGCAAGACTTGACAGGAACGGAAGTGCCACTCCAATAAAGAATGAAACAAATCCGAAAAATATTCTGAAACCAGAACGGACCCAAATTGAGCATGGTTTGTTGGTGCGGCTAGTGTATCCAGCTTCAAAACTGTCGAATGCTGGCATTGAGTATATCTGGAAGCTACTCAAGCAGTTGAATACGACTAAGAGAAATGTCATGGCGAGAAGTCCTCTTGGAATATCGTGAATGTGGAAGGCGTATAGTGCACTTAGCATTCCTCCAGATGGCATCTGTAAGGAATTAATAAGCGAGCGATCAAATCAGGAGATAATAAGGAAAACACATATAGTCTGAACAGAGGAGTACACTGTTCTACCAAGGATATATGGCCCGTGGAAACAAATGCAAAACGAAAAAGGCTTGTGGATAGTAAAGTAGCAAGAGTACTACCAAAACATATACTCCCTCCGTCACAATTTAAGTGTCTTAGTTTGACTAGGCACAAAGTTTAAGCAATAAACGGAGACTTTTGAATCGTATGGTCTTAAATTAAAGATGTATGTAGTCCTTTGTGGTTTTAAACCAAGTCAAGTTGATTATTGGAATCGAAAAACTTACTTAATATAGAAAGAGACATTCTTTTTTGGGACAGACCAAAAAGGAGGACGAAGGGATTATTATCATACTTTAGAAAAGCTTTTTCAAACGCAAAAATGAAATATATCTTGTACTGTCAAAATAATGTGACTGAATTTAGTAGTTATGATTTGGTCGGCGGAAATAACAGAAAGATAGCTATACTTACAAGGCTTCCATAAGCCCAGAAGCCTCCAATGGCAATAGGGAACAGGCACAAGGCTATGAAGAAATAAGCAACTTTTGCTCCCTTCCACATTGGCACATGAGCTGGGTGCTTGAACGTTGACGGCATTGTTGACTGCAAATATGATAGAGAAGATATTAGTTGATGTCTTTACAATTGCAAAATGGAAATGTTTCGTGTGACTATTCAAAGAAACAGTTTGCATTTGCACATGACGGAAAAACGGGTAAGAAAAATTACCTGAATTTCAAGAACTAAATTGTGTCCTCTAAAGGTAAATGCTATAATACCCATGGCATTCAAGACCGAAAAGAGAGAAGCTGAATAGGAAGGCAAAGAAATGGGTTCATATGAAATGGAAGGTGGTCGTGGTTGGCTAACAGAAAGGACCCATGCCATAGTGGCGTATGTGATGGCTGTCACTGCTCCAACGAGGGAGAGTCCAGCGATGGAATTCAGGTTCGGGAGCTGGGACAGAACAATGCAGAGGGAAGTGAAAACCAGATACCACTCCACAGTTGTTAAAGGATTCGATGAACAGAGAGGACCACAAACAATTTGAAAGAACAGCTTCATGGTTTCTCCTCCTACGAGAATCAATGCTGTTGCAGTTCCTGCAGATAGGTAAACAGTAGGGAAGAGAGCAAGCCAAACACCCAGTCTTTCACCTGAAAAAATGTAAAATGAATACAATAATGTTATAGCAATTAAAGTGAACTATTTAAGATTTCAACCAAACTTTGTTCATTTCCTTTTTCTTCAACGGAAAATAGGAGTTATACAACTCTATCAGCTTTTCATGCATCTTGCACATTACCAATAATTAAGCACTCTCTCTGTTTAAAATTATATAACGGTGGCTTACCAAACACGAAGTTTAAGATGTTCATTGTGACTTAGGTGGTGTATTAGTGGTAGTCAAATAAATATTCATCTATTTCAATTTGTTATCCCGGTTTTCACTTGGCACAGAATTTAAGAAAGTAAAGAAACTTCTGAATGTTGCGGTCTTAAACTAAAGATAAGCATAATGTACCAAATTGTCATTTAATCTTGTGGTCTTAAACATATCATGTTATCATATGGAAGTAACTGATTTTCTTACCAAATGCTGCTTGCGCAAGTTCCACATATCTATTGTATCTTTTTCCAGGTACTGCTTCATGCAGCTGAACAAGGATCCATAATGTATAGAGTTGCCAGAAATAAGCTATAGTTAAGGAAATTATTCCCCAGCTCCTGCATCCATAAGGAAAGTTAATCGCCTTACGTTACTTTCAGAAGACTAAAATTTAAGAGTATCTGGTATATGTTGGCACGAGATTAATAAAATGGAAACTTTAGGACATCGAGCGAACGATCAGTTATTACGACGTACACTTCAGATAATAAAAAGGTAACTTGGCTATTAAACATACAACAGTGATATGGTTTGGTGGAAATTTCAATAGTAAAATATCTCTCTCCAATTACTGAAGATGGAACATACTGTAATAAATGCACAATAGTCCACTTGGAAATCCCAGTAGCAATTAGAGATATTAGATCTTAAAGTCAATGTGATAGGTCAAAATCATCAAAAGCAATTTCTGGACCAACTGTTGACTAAATTATAGTGCCAAGAATGTAACAAAAGGAGTGTGTGATAGCTACAACACAAGGCTAAAAAGAAAGATATCTCCATCAATATAGAAGAGGAAAATCCTTATATATGTATTGAATAAATGACATTGCTTTTCAAAAATATCAATTTCGTGCCTATTAAAAACAATCTCTCTACCTCCAAGGTAGGGGTAAGATGTATCTTTAGTTAATATTTAAAATAAAAAAAATATCTTTAGGTAAATGTACGGAACTTAAATACTTTTGATGTACCATGGGACCATTTTTCTTAAATGATGTGGAAATGCAAAAGGAAAATGGAACAAAAGGTAATAGGCAGTCTTATTTCTCAATATATGATAATGAAAAATGAGAGAGGACCTAGGAGATGTATTTTAATGAAAAGGCAAAGTAGTATGAATGCCAACAATTAGTACAACTATCTTTTATACAAATTTCATTTGAAATCAATGATGAAAGTTGAGAAAAGAAAGAAAAGTAAGTCCATTGAGACAGATTTAGAAGATTTCTTGTCGGTCCACAAAGCGCGATAATTTTCTTAAATAAGATATCAATAGATGGAGGGGTCCGTTTAGATGAGTGCAGTATAGTCAATCAAAGTCCCCATTTTCAAAGACAACTGATATGCATTTAAAAAAACAGTACTTAGAGGTCACAAATAGCTGAAAGATCAAGACTTTCGAGAATGGCGGTTGGCTTTGAGAAATTTTATGAAGCAATAATGGTTTTCCTAACTAAAGTAAATCCCCAATTAGCAGAAAGAGTTCTTCAAAGTTCAAACCAAGATAAACAAAGATTCATAGACAAACCAGAATAACTCCAAAATTTGCTGAAAGCATGCAGCTTTGTAACCAAATTCTAATAGAATTCTTACTTATTAAAACAAGCACAAAGAAATGTGAAAAAGATCAAAACTTTTACCATTAACACTATCAACAACAAGAATAACAAGCACCAAGCAGATGGAAAAGAGAGTTCTTTAAACCAACAAAGCAGAAACTTTACAGACACACCAGAATAAGCCCAATTATTTTCTAAAAAAGCAGTCAAAAGCAGGTAGATTTTCAATCAAAATTTGAATATAAATCTTACATATAGATCATATAACAATAAATTCCACAAACAAATGTTAAAAAAGATCCAATCTTTAACCATAACACAATCAACAATAGCATTAACCATAACACAATCAACAATCGCTCATCAAACCAACAAAGCAGAATTTTTATAAAACAGTCAAAAGCAAGCAAATATGAAAGTGACTCTTACATATACATCACACTACAACAAATTCCACAAGAAAATGTAAAAAAGATTCAACCTTGAACCAAAACAACATCAAGAATAGCAATAACGAATTAAACACCAAGTAAATGAAACAGAGTAAAGGGAGAGTAACACTACCATCCAAGAAAAGAGAAAGCAACAGGCAAGACCAAAGCTTGAAACCCAATACCAGCATTAAGATTATGAAAAGCAGCATAATGAGCATTGCCATTTCTAGATTCAGTAATTGGAAGCCAAGCATCTTGAGGGTTAAGCTTAGTCAAATGCCCAACTTCTTCCAAATAACCCTTCATATTAACCAACACCCTTTTCATTGGAGTCCCAATAGGGCTCAAAAACCTAGGTGAAATAAATGACGTTGGTGTCCATGACTTAGCATCTTTTGATGCACCAGTAGATGTATGTCCTCCACCACCCCTTGGTGATCTTTGACCTGACGGTGTTAGAATCTCAGGTGTTGATGCACGCGGTGTTGCTGGTATTGAAATAAGCTCTGTTTCTGGTCTTTCCTCCATCAATGGCAAAATACTAAAATTTGTTGGAAAAAAATGAAAATGGACTAATGGGGTTATGGCCTGATGAGTCCTTTTTTCTTTTTGTTGTTTAGTTTGTGTTGTTTAGCTCACTGGGGCTTTCGTTTTGGCTTGTTCTTGTCAGAGTTCATCAAGCAAGAAAAAAGGGTTTTTTTTTCAAGAATATATAGAATGAGACTGAGCTGCACCACATGCAATGTGTGTGAAATTGTGCAAACAGTCAAGGTGAAGTTTGAGTCTTGGCCATTGATGGAGCAGCAATCTCGAGGAGGTTTTGGGTACTCAGTTATGGTTGTTTGAGAACAGAGAAAGGGGTTTTTGAGTGAAGGTTTTGAGAGTGAGACTGAACAAATGACTTAAACAAATATTTAAAGCTGTTAATACACTGAGGTTACTATAATAATACTGTTTATATTATTTAATATTTTGATAAAATATGTGTCAAATCAATAATAAACAAATATTATCAGACATAAATTTTTTTTTATATATGTTAGAAGTGGAAGTGGAGTTCATATCTCTAAAGAGAGTAACAATGATGAAATGAAATAATTGCTAGCATGCTACTAAGTGTTTGAATTTGGTCAAATGGTAAGAGAGATCAATCCACTACTAAAAAAGTGAGTACAAAAGCAACAACAAATTTAATATAATTCTATTGATAAAATATAAAAGAGTTAATATATTCTTCGATAATTCAATTAAAAAAGTAATGAAAAAAAATAGCTAAAAGTGAATATTAACACATTATGAACTTGAGAAAAGATATAACGCACTATCAATTAAAAGCAACATTCTTTCTATTTTGGAGCCTAATTAATTTAAATTTTAGTTAATAAATTTCACTTGAGAGAGTAAAGCATTTTTATTTTGAAATATATATTTTTTTTTGCATATGGGCGTGAATAATTGAGGACAAGAATGTAAGCCAGAAAAATAATGTTTTCTTCACTATAATACTGTTACTTTGACTGGGTGGGGGTAACTGATGCCCCACTTTACCCATATTTTGTTTTTTAAAATATTTAATTACAGTGAACCATATCCAATTAGAATTAAATGAAAATATATATTAATTAATTTATAATTTTGTGATTAATTGTTTGTGAAGACACTGTAAGAGTACTCTTTCTATTCCATAATGCACTAAAAAAAAGTTTAGGATATGTACTACTTTCTATTTTTGTTGTTTTAGTTATTGTCACACTTTTCTTGAAAATAGAGATACTTTAAATTACCTAAAAATTATAAATAAAGGGCTATAATAGAAAAGATTTTAAATAATTATCTCGAATTTTAAATTATTCACTTATTTTGACCAATGAAAAATCTTCTAAAAATCAATTAATATGAAATAATAGAAGTATTTATTATGTTGGTGTAATCATCCGATAGAAAGTACTTATATTTTTTTGATCCTCAAAAAAAAAGATCACTCTCGTTCTCGTGAAGTATTTATTAAGAATGTAATTTCATAAATAAAAAATACTTTTATAATTAATCTTACTAATGAACATTTGGTATCAACATAGGTTGTGATGCAATAGTGAAACTGTTTTATTCTTAATCAGAGGCTCAAATACATCCTTAATCAAAAGTCTCGAATTCAAATCCTAAATATAGAGAAAATCATGCTAGGAGTGTCACTCCAAATGAACTCGTAATGTATATGATGCATATTTAGTCAGAGCTCCAATGTCCTCTCAAGTTTCTTACCTAAGATTAACACTCATTATTATTACGATGCCTAGTTCATCCATTTCGAAATCCAAAAAAAAATCAAGAAACCATGCATCTTTATCTTTAAAATATTGAATAATCTTTTAGGTATTAGCTCCAATTTCCCTAGGTCCAATATGATATAATTTCAAGAAATATCATCATATATTATGTCATAAGAAGATTAATTTGCCAACCAAAATTTAAGTAACATATTTACTATCAACACAATATCACCATATGTTATGTCAAAAGAAGATTACATAACCTAGGAAAAGTACATAATTTAGTTACACGTTATGATATGCTTTTGAAATAAGTTATCTTTAGCTTTTATTTTTTAATAATCAAACTTCTAAATATTTATCACGATATATAAAATATAAAAACCAGTACAAAATAGGGGAAATGAACCAAATTAGAGAATACATTCGTTAGTGGAGTCTCAATGATTTTGTGTGTTTAATTAATTAATTGTTACACAAAAAAAATGGTCCCGACAACACTGGCAACAGTGTGCAATCTATATTTGATCTCATTGTTTCTTGTGATCTTTTCACTTTCTTTAATAAAAAAAAAAATAGTCTCCCACTATATAATTATTCTGAAAATATGCTTATAAATAGCATCAGTTTATGTGAAATACTCATATGAATTTTTTTTATCAAACGTAAAAGAAAATGAAATGTATGATTCAGAATGAGCTAGAGATATTTGTCACGAACAAAACTAACTTTCAATGGTAATAAATAGATATATTAACTTTTAATGCATTAGTTTAGTGTTAATAAATCCCGTGTCGCTAAAGACTATAAAAACATGTATAAATAGTGTTAATTGTCGCTAAAAGTATATATTTTAAAAATAATTAAGTCACCGTTAATTAATGACTGTGGTATGTGATAATGAATAAGTCAAAAGTAAAAGGATGGCATAAAAATTACAAATGAGAAGCTGAAGATTTTCTCATCGCAGTTGCAATAATATCCAGCAAGAGACTATTTCAACCAATTGAAAATCTAATTATATCTGTTTAGAGAATAATAACCCCTAATTAAGGTTAAGATGCTAAAATCTTTCAAAAGGATCGAGAATGGAACATCTAATCATAACTAATGTAACTGAAGTTAAATACTAAAATGATGAATAAAACATCTCACGATAACAACGTTCAGAAAGAACCACATCTCAAAGGTGTGATGTAGACAGTCTAACCTAATGCAAATATTAACGAATGTTTCTACTGGTACCTAATAAATTTGATCCCTACACATATTATTGTGAGGACCATAGTTGAAGACAAGAGTAGATGTGATTTGATTTTCTCTAGTACGACTAAATGCAATTCAAACATTGGATTATATTCCTAACATACACTTAAAAAAAAAGGTAAGAAAATTGACATAAAGTGATATTTATGGAGCCCTCATTTTATCTCACGCCATGAAACACAAAAGTGAAGTCTACATAATGAATCTTGAATTATGATTTATGCTGCAACGTAACCCCACTATATATGAAAGTTTCTTCAATAAAAGTTACTTTAGAAGGTTTCGATTTTCAAATACTGCAAAAAAATATAGCAGACAAATAGCTATCATATCAAATGATATGACTAGATTTTTGGGACAAGCTTGCAATTCGAAAGATTACTATGTTCTTTTTTTGTTTTGTTTTATTTGTTAAAAGTTAAGTTAAATAACAATAAAGTTGAAAAAAATAATAGATGTGAATTTCTTGAAGCCAATTAGTGGACCATTTTAGTTGCTAAATAAATTTTGATCAGCCGAAAGAAGGAGGTCAAAAATTATTGCTTGAAAAAACTATAATTTATATGAGTATATGAAGCTTAACTTCAATTAAAGAATATGAGTTTAATTTTTGGTTTGATAGTCCTCCAAACTTCGAATAAACTGTTTGATTTTGACTTAACACTCTCAAACTAGAGTTAGTTTGGCTACGTAGTCTCAATCTTCAGACATTTTAATCTGAATTTTGGCTTGAGAAATGTAAACAGACATGTCACTCATGGTACATCATTTATAATTTGTTTGTTTGATTGCACCTATTCTCTCATTTGGCCATAAAATTTTTAAGTTTGAAATTTGAGTTGTTGGAATTGAGATTTTTAAAAGGTTGTGTCTAGATAGATTTTTTTAAAAGTTTTGTGACTGAAGTCCCAAAGTTTGCCTTGAAATATTAGAAGATCCTATTTTCATCAAGTTAAACATAACAAAAAGATTATTGAAGATAATCTTGTTTTATTTTCAAAATTCATAGACCAAATGCTTGCAATGTTTCCGGAGTTGAGCCCAACAATCGTGTTACTTTCAATCAAATAATTTGAAAATAATGGGTTGGCAGGGTAAAAACTACATAAATCGCATTTATGTTAAAGAACTACCTACATCCTATTGTTACAAAAATTCCTTAAAATTTATAGAAATTCGGATACATCAAGAAACATGCGGATACATAACTCAAAGATTCCGAATGGTACATTACTTAATGGGTGGGATGTATCAAAGAGGAGATATTAATGTATAAGCGAGAGAATTTTTGTGATTAGGTAAGATAAAATAAGAGGTATATTTATTTACTTTTTTCATTAAATAATTTGAAAACAATGAGTTGGCAAGATGAAAGTTGATCATTTGCTACATAGGCCCAACAAAAAGAAGCCCTTTGATTCACACCTATCAATATGGCCCAACATTTTTACCTATAAAGATGGGCCTCTATAACATATACAGGCCCATGCATACACGATCATGTTAGTAAACAAGACGATCGAAGAGTACATTACATTTAAGTTTTTATATATTAAACGATACAAAGATTTGTACTCATCCTTGCATCTATTAACTTCTTTTTATTTTCATTATTTCTCTCCATCACCTCTCGAAACATTACATCCTTGTTAAACTTTGAATGCAGAAATATGGTAGTTTCTTGAATATTATTTCCATTTTATTTCGTTTCGTCATTATATATTATATTGCATTCCTAGTTTGGTAAAGTGAAAAAAAAAAAGAAGACGAAATTATTCAAAGTGCATCTAATGATATGATAATTGACACAGTAGTCAATTGAAAATATGTCAAGCATTATTTCTTGAATATTATATCCATTTTATTTCGTTTCGTCATTATCCTTGTAAATATTAATTTTATATAGATTTTCTTCCACAAAACTTTAAAGAGTATTCTATGCTTTTTTTATTTTTATATATAAAAAAGTGTTTTTCCCCCAATCAAATATAC